TAAAACACAGTTTATCCTTTCCTCCTAATTAATAAATTGATGTAACTGGCCATGAGTTTGCCCTGTCCATACATTTAAATTTCATATCACAGTCACCACGTAGTAAGTTAGAGTCAGAAATTTGCAGACATGAGCAGGTCACCAGTAGGAATTGCTCCATACTTGCCACCTGGCAGAGTAAGAGTAAGGGTACAGAGCTTGAAGGGATGAAGCATGCAGAGGGTCATGGCTGTTGAGATCCCTGGAACAAAGCTGTTTTAGCCAAGAAAAGGACCTCATCTTTACATTGGAAATCCCACTGCCAGGCAAGTCAGAGAAAAGCATTCAATAGAGAGCCATCATGTAGTTGTGGAGAACAAGAAAGGACATGTAAAGTACAGGGCTAATGGGTTTCTCCTTTTCCTATCTCCACAAGCAGTTTCACACCTCCTGTTCACTAAGTGGGATGGAACATTTCTGCCCCCCTCCTACCAGGTATTGGGTATCACTCAGCCTCATGCACAGTCAGTGAGGAATATCTAGTCAATCTCTGTAGCTCCGCATAACATCCCTGGCTCTTTTTGGTTTGCTGTCTCTAAAGGAGAGCTCCCAAACCAGTCAAATTGATTTTAATTTGCTTTTAAATGGAAAAAGGAAAACCTCTTAGAAGTTGAAAATGTGCAGTGAGCAAAACAGCTGTACAGTAAACCTCCTGAAAAAACATACTTTACAATGGTAATTATGACAGATTAAATAACGAGTGTCATCAGTGTGATGGTACAATGCACACAATACTAAATGTTTCCTACTCAAATATTTGCAGACATCTCCAATTTTTTATTTTAATGAAAAAACATCTAACTATTGAATTGACTTTAAGAACCATTTTGAGGCTTACAACAGCTTTCACTGTCAGAAGCTCTGTCAGATATTTGAACTGCAATTTGCCCCCAGTGGGTCCCAGCTTGAGCTAGAGGAATGCTGTAAACATAGCTTTTTAGGAAGTGGCGACTCAGAAATCACTGCCTACAGAGAGTATGCTAAACCCTGAGGACCTACCCTGCTCTCCTGCTACAACAGGAATTGGAAGGACCCCCACACCTTGAAGAAAACGTTTGGTTCAGATTCTCTGCCTCTCAAACGTATGCACGCAACTGTGCTGCTATGTGATGAAGCTGTCCTCTTCGGATGGCTAAGCACCTGGAATCCTTTTGTCATGCAGTACATATGTGCTTGACAAGTATGGGCTGCAACCGTGAAGCCAAAGAAAATAAATCAATCCCTTCAAGAAATTTCTGAGAGCTTCCCAGCTATTGGGTGGGGAGTAACACAATCTAAACCATGATACATGACAGCATGTGAACCAATGCGGTTTGCATTAATACCAAATGAGTTCATGGTGGTTTATATCAAATAAAAGACGGATGGTAAAGGCTCCATGTGCTGATAACACCCAGTTATTTAAGGAAATTGGCTTTGCATGTTGCTGGGCATTATGCAAAGAATAGTCAATGGGCTGAATCCTGGGGTTGACCCTTCACTATTGTTTTGTTTTAAGCAAAAATGTCCATTGGCTTTAATAAGAACTCTTTTTAAATGAAGGAAATCACCTCAGATGTGACATTTTTGGATATGTCCTGTTGTCGTGTTCAATACGGTTGTCTAAGCCCCTGTATTTGTGACATCCTGTTGGGTCTCACAGTGTCATTCTCTCTATAGTATTTGCCAGGTTTTCCCATGTTTCCTTTAAGAGTCTGCTTGGACTCTATCCCCAGATCCAAGAAAGATTATGAGGGCTGTTCAGTACAGAAGGAGAAGCTGTGTTTTGCCGCAGTCCCATGAATCTTTCTTTGAAGAAATTTGGAATTAGAAGGCAAGCTGGCACGGGTTGTATTTCCAAGCTGGCTGTGAAAGCCACAAATTCACACGTATCTTAAAGTCAAACCATTTTCTCCTCCCTGAGGTAATGAGAAAACAATCTTGTGTGCCACCCTGTTGACTTTGCAGAAGTAACTGCCGTAAGCCTTAACTCTCACCACTCTGAGAAAGTAAAATCCTAAGAACAGCAATGAAACCGTTACAAAGACAGGAGACAGACTGGTGTTTGCCAAATGGAGAAGGGCCACACAACTAGGCAAATGGTGTTTATTTTAACACTCCTAAAGTCTGCTAAAGATAGTAGAGAATGAAAATAAACGTGAGAGCTATTGCACTGAAGTAAGAGGAGTTAACAATCATCTTCAGGGTAGCAATGCAACGGAGGTATTTTGGAGTTGTACGTCTGAATAGATTCTGTACCAGCTGTTCTGATCACCCAATTGATGGGGCACTTTGCGGACACGAGGGTACATGCTGAGAAGCAGGGAGAAACCACAGCATCCTTCATTTTGATAGATATCAAAATGCCTATGCCAATATTATCATTGCAACTGTTCCCAGACTGCTCCATACATCACTAGATCTGTCAGCACAAAATTAAGGATCATTAAGTAGAAAATCTGGACATAGGAAACAGCAAAGCTCCCTGCAAAGCACTTCACAACACAACAGAAACATACGCAAACAGTAGTTTCTGCATAGATTTAACATTCTCATTTGATTTTGTTCCTTTTTGAAACCTTTTCTACTTTCTTTGAGAAACCTAAATATATTGCAAAAAACCCTCAAATGCTTTGCTCATGTATTTTATAATTTCCCATTTTTTCTGAACTGAAGAAGAGAGGTCATGAAAACTCAGAGAGTTATTGAAGGCTGGCTTCCTTATTCCTGAATTTCTTCCTGTTTATTGCCTTTTCACAAGTGGCTGACTCAACAGACAACTGAGAAAAGACTAAATAAGTCTTCTCTGGGTGGCATTTTAAGCCCAAGTATTTTAAGAACTGCTATTATGTTGCAGATGAATATTCCAGCAGACTCTCTGACCCCTTTCTGAATCAGAGTGCCACCAGGCTAAATATTTGCACAAATTCCAAACATCAGCCTGCAGATTCTGCAGAGAGAAGAGCAATTTTATATCCAGGCAAACAATGGCTCTTTACTCCAGCATCTGATCTGAAAAAAAAAAAGCAATCTTTAGAATGACACCAGAACAAGTAGTTTTAATTGTAGATGTAGCAAAATCTGTTTTCTCAAGACTTTTTTTCTAGTAATACTAGAAAACAGTCATACTAGTCATACTTCTCCATCCATAAACAGGTATACAACTGTGTAGAAAAATCTCTTTGTAGAGACATCAATAAAACTGTAATTTTATGGGAATTAAGGGCAAAGAAAGGCATTTCAGAGCCTTCAGAAAATAGATTTGAACAAAGTTGCTGAGTTGCTGCTAATGATACAAATTGTCTGGGTTGGAAGTTTTTGAGATGAAATGTTAGCACTTCAAACATACAAATAAGGTCAGTGAAAGACTTTGCTGAATCAGCAAAATATCTCAGTCTTTTATAAAAAAGCCCAGAAGAATTGAAGTCTAGTTCTGAGAAAGGAGGACTAAAAAGACTGCATTGAGAAGAACCAGAGCTATTTTAAAAAGATAGAACATTACTAAATGTAACCAATGTGGATCCTAATACATACCTGCTGTCTTTGTGGCAGCAGCAGGTAATAAAGCTTGGCTCCATAACCCTGCCTCTCTCAGCCATGCTTATTTTCTGAACCACTCTTTTGTGACATGCAAACTGAAGAAGCGTTATCACAAGTCTCCTTAAAATGGTAGTTGGTAGAAACTAGGACTATTGGAAAGAAAATGGTCTCTTTTTTTTTGTAATTTGCAATTTAACAACAAAATATTGTTGTCTTCTTATTTTGAAGAGAAATATGCTCTCGTGACCAGAGGACTGACTTAATAAAGTACACCAACAAGAATAAAATTAAAAATCAATACCCCTTTCTATTTAAATAGCTGTTTTGTCACTAACTTGCTGACCAATCTTACACAGCTTACTAACGCCTATAGTTTCACAAATACTCAATATTTTTTATTTATCTTGTCTGTAAAAAATGAAATACAGGAACAGGGCTGATTTTCAGGGACACAAAACTGAAAACTTCAGTTTCTTATGAAAGTACTGGGAGTGCAGAGACCCAGCAACCTAAAACAAGGCTTTGGTTCCTCTGTAATTTACCCCCTAACTCCAGTCACAGTTACGACACATGAAGTTCCTGCCTACACAAGTTGGAAGTTTCAAAATTAGGCAAGAAATCCTGGACTGAACATCATAGTCATAGTATTCCCACCTGCAAAATAGGCAAAATGCCTACCCAGTGTCTTCCTGGGGGATCGCAAGAAGTCTCTGTTTGACCACTGTTAAATACTCCTGTCATTTTCAGTGTATCAGGGAATCTTTGGCCATTGTTCCTTTATGGAAAATGACAACTAAACTGTCAGGCTCTCTTGGGATGGGAACAGGGGTGGGGGAAAAGGAAACACAAGGAAAGCAGATGACCGATGGCGGGAGATGAACGTGGAAGCAAAATAGACTGGCCATTTGTTTCATCTACCACGATAATCAGTACAATGGCAACACCTGAACACAAGCAGCGTTGACTGCAAAGGCCTTGTAGCTCTTAGAATCATGTGCTTAGAATAGAAACAGTGGAGGAACTGAGAAGAATTTAATTATTTACTTCTTAAGCCCTGGTCACAACTTAGATGTCAAATTCCTTAACTGTGCTCTCAGACATAACAGCTAATGAAAGGTGTCCTTTAAATAAAAATGATCAAAGGATGAGACCAACAGTGAACGGTTGGATTCTTTAACTATTTCCTGCTGGTTTGGGCTTTTCTAAAAACTAACTAATTTGGCAGAGGAAGGAAAGGGGAAGAAAGAGGGTAACAGAAAGGGGAAAGGAAAGTCTTTTAGCAGCAGGACACCGTGTAACATCCCTCCCGGCCTCCACAACCACTCGCTGACTGACAGAGCACAGCGTGCAGTCCCGCCCCGGCTTCTGTGGCTGTTGCTAGTGACCCACAGTGGGCTACACACGACGCCTGGGACTCGGACTGCCCAGCATGGACTACAACTCCCAGGGTGCTTTGCAAAGGAGCGTTGCTGGGGGAACGACTCCCGGGAAAGCTGACGCCGCAACTCTCGCGGGAGAACGGGCGGCCTCAGCAAGCACGTCTCTCGCGAGAACTGTGCGCGGCACTCGCGATGGCGGCGGGTTCGGGGCTGTTCGAGCTGGAAGTGTTGATGGAGGCGGTGTGGGTGGTGGCGCCGCCGGGCCCCGTGGTGTGCCCGGCCGTAACGCTGCGCCTCTTGGACTTCCCCACCCTCCTGCTGCGCCCCGCCGCCTCCGCGCCGCCCCTGCGCCCGGGGCGGGCCTTCCCCTTCGGCCGCGGCAAGCGCTGCCTCTTCCGCTGGTGCCGGGGCTCGCTCTGCGCCGCGCTCCGCCGCCGGCCGCTCCGCGTCTTGCTCCTGGCGCTGCCCGCCGGGCTCGGCCCGGGGCCCTCCCGCCTCCTCGGCAGCTGTGGTGTCTCCCTGGCCCCCGCCGCCGCCGAGGTGCTGCAGCGGCCCGGGGCGCCTGCTTCCTGCTGTCGCCGCGGGCGCTTCCCTTTGCGGGACGCTGCGGGCCGCCCCGTCGGGGAACTGGTACTGAGCTACCGGCTCAGCAGCCTGGAGGCCGGTGAGCAGCCGTCCCCGCCGAGCCCCGTTAGCCCCCGCGCTGCCACGCCGCCTGCCACCTCCCCTGAGCTGGGGAGCGAGGAAGAGGAGGGCGAGGAGCTGGTGGGCAACATCTTTTGCCCTCCCATGCTCTATTACAGCCATGAGCCTGCTGAGCCAGATCTGCCGCCAGCAGCAGCGGCTGCAGGGCAGTGGGAACGTGTCGAGGCCTGGGGACCGCAGGAGAAAGGCAAGGACCAGAGCCCCCCACGTCCCAGTGCTGGACCCTCATTGCTGCACCCAGCCAGCCCTCCACAGCTCTGCAGTGTCCTGGGGCAGCTGCCGGTACTTAGTGCCTTGCTAGCAGAGCTGTCAGTGCTCACCCACAGTGCTGTGCCTGGTGCTGTGCATCCCCCGCTTGCCTGGCTCTACCGGGCTCCAGGAAGCAATGGCATGGCCTCACAGGCTCCCAACCCCAGCCATTCCTCTGGTCTCAAGCCTGCAGAGGCACCTGTGGGGCCTGATGAGAGCACTGGAGCTACCAGCCCTCAACTCAAGCAAGGCCATCAAGAGGCCATCTCTGCAGCATCTTCTCAGGCTGGGAGAGGATCTATGAAAGCTGTACCCCAGGTAGAGATGGGCTCTGAAAGGAACTGCGGAACTAAGGAAAACAGACCTCCCAGAAAGAAATTGTTGTATGGGCTGACAAATACACTGAGGCTACGGCTGCAGAAAACCAACCCTGATAAACTGGTAATTCATGAAAGGAGAGAGCAGTACAGAAAAAAGCAAATAGAGATGATGAAGGAGAGAAGCCCTTTATCCAAAAGAAAGCTGCTCAGAAGTGCTGGAGAACAGCATGTGATTTCTTACAGGTGTTGTAGCAAGGGAGACGGTTCAAAGCGGAATAATCAGTTCGATAAAGCTATTCAGACTTCATTAGAAAACAGTGCTCTCCCAGAGTCTGTTTCTGTGACACAAGATGTGTCCCCTGACCTGCAGAAACAAGCCACTGCAAGTCCACTGAAGAGTGATGAAATTGCAAGCAAGGAACATCCATGCAAAATATCTACGCCCCCCCTTACTGGAGGAAACTCTATTAAAATCTGCCAAGAAGGAAACGCATGCAAAATCTGAACTCCCAGCAGCTTTCCCATCAGATGCTAATGCAAAGAAGAGTAATGGGGAGGGAATACACTTCATCCATCCTAAAACAACGGAGCATGATAATGTATCTGTTATAAGTGATCATAAACCAGGCCCCAGCAGGAGTGCTGAAGACAGCTCTGAATTTATTTACTCAGATGACTTTGTTACTAGTCCTGAGAACACAGTTTATTCAGAAGATTTCACCAGTGCTGAGTATACAGACAGAGGCTCAGAAGCTCTTGACAGTAATCCTGAACCTCTGTGGCTTGAAAGCCCAAAGCAAGGTTGCTCAGACACAGAGGTGGAATCCAGCAGGTCCAGAATTTCAAAGACAAGTCAAAGAGCTGAAAGTCCTTCAGAGCTTCTGCCGGTTCCTTCAGCTTTATCTCCAGTCCAGTCTTTGAAGAGAAACCGTGACTTAAAAATCAGCAGAACTAGCGGTGAATCTATTGATTCACTTAACCTTGTTTGAAGAGAGGCATTGTTGTTAGATGGAGAGCAGGAAGCCTGATAGATCAGTGTCACATTAAAAGGGGATTTTCCTTGAACCCCTTATATTTGATCAGCCTGTCAGTTTCCCAGGAAAGACGAGTACTAAGGTGGCAGGTTGCCTAGAGAACTGTGGTGGAGTAGATTCCGTGTATGCCAGCTGTCTCTGGAAGTAGCAACTGTATTTCACCCTAAAAAAGTTTCCTTACTACTACATCTTCTGTTAGGCCCCAGTTTTCTCTAATTTCTCCACTAAGTAATTTTCCCACAATTGTCAAGGAAGAAGGGTGATCAGCATGTTAAACAAGTATCTACACTGAGAAGCAGAAAAGTTAGTTCTCATCCTGATCTGAATATAGGAAAGGGGCAGACCTCTGCAGGAAAAAGCCAGTATCTCAAGTTAGCTCTTACTTGCTACTTAACATGTCTGATCTTGACCTTAGTGTCCTGGAAAATAGTATGTCAAAGAGGATGATTTTTTGGGGAAAGTATGTCTGCTTCACAGGCAAGAAAAAGAGAAGACAGATGAAGGATCAAGTCTTGTCTCACTAAACAGAAAACCCTGGGTTTGAAATCTCAGCTTTTTGAGCAAGAATAGCTTATTTTTCCACATGCATTCCATCCATGGTTCTTTGTCAAAGTTTCAGGAAAGGTTATTAACTAGTACTCTAATTACAGTGTGGGCCCTTACCCACTGTGAGACTGATGTAAAACCAAGATGGTTTCTTGCAGTCCCCCAGGGGTCTGCGTCTAAGAGCTTTCTGTTGTTACTGCAGGTTGAGCAATCCCATAAACACACAGTCTCATTTATGTCTTTGTTACATGCTTGACAGTCATGGCTAGTCACAGTCAAAGTGTCACAAGTCCAAAATATTTACTAAAAGCTCCCTATTTCCTAATCCCCCATAGCCCTCAGAGATTTCATATATAACTGTATTTTCACAGAATTTACAGTAGTTTTCATTTTGGTCGCATTGACTCATTAACTCCTTGCTCCACACTATTGAGCAGTAAACTATAGTTACTTCAAATTGAAGTTTTGTGGTGGTGGTAGTTACACTTCTAACTTTACTACAATGAAATTAAAATATAGAAAGTAATTACCTGAGTTTATTATAGATCCTCACTAAACAAAGCTATCTGACTTCTTACTTTTGGCTTGTTACTTTAGCAACTGGTCTTTGTTTTAAGTCGCTACAATATTCTAGAGATAAGGTCGATGGCTATTCCATAAACCCCCATAGTTTTGTTGCTTAAGAGAAGGGTGATTAAATAAGCAAATAAAATTGAACTTAATGTTTTCACCATCAGTCCCAAACTGAGAAATAAACTCTTTGATATACACATTAATTCTCAGAATTTATGACCTAAGCCAAGTTTTCTATGACTGTCTTTTAAACAGTTATTTCAGCATGCTGTTTAGTAAAATAAATTTAGATAGCCAATATAACTGTATAACTGATGGTGCGATGGGAAGAGCAGGATATCAAATACTGACAGTTTGGGTCACTTTACCTCTTCAACTGTAATGTTTTTCCTGCTGTTAAGTAGTTCTGATCAGTCTCAGCCAGTGGCTAGGAACATTTTTAAGAAGTCCCAGCCAAGCACATTTCCTTCACTTCAGTTTTTATTCCTCAGCTCCTGGCACTCTGACTGTGTTTGTGATTTCTCTAATGAAAGTTCCTACCACCTATTTTACAACCTATAATCCCTTCATCGTTGTGGAAGTTACTTCTTTCAGTTTTCTGAAATTACATCCAGCCTTGGTAACTGTGCAATTGATTTTTTTCATTGAGTTACTGATGCTCTTGGTACCTTCATTTTCTAGGTCCCAGTATTTTATGATGCCTGCTGTTGTAATCATTCCTTTTCTCTTTGTGTAAGTGCTATTTAGAGTTAAATGCTAGTCATTATTTGAAAATCTGTGAGCTTTTGCTTCCCTTTTCTCGGCATTTGTCACCAGCATCTACTTTACTGCTTGCTCAGCTTTGTTTGTCTAGAAAGAAGACAAATTATTGACTCTTACATTCCCATCCTTAAAAGGTTTTGTCGACTTCTACATGCAAGATTTTCACCAGCTCCTGTGAAATGGCACAGTGCTCATTTAGAGCTGCAGAATGACCATCCAGGACTGTGAACATTTGCTTGTGGTTATCAGACAGCAGGCTTCTCTGCCTCTCTCAAATGTTGCTGTTAATCCCTTTTTAAAGTTTTGATTTCCAAACTAACCTTTCATTTAAGATGACTGAGGCCATGTCTGTGAGAACAGACACTGGCTTTATTTTAATGTGCATTTAGAGTTAATAGCAGTCACATCTGCTATAGCTAATGTTTGCTACCAGCTAGCTGCTTGCATTTTCTATCCTTCCTTTTAGTCAGTACACTGATTTTAATTTCAGTTTTGTTCACATTCAGATTCTTCCCTCATCTTAAATTCCTTGTATGTATGCAGCTCCGTTATGTTGAAGTCACCCAGATGAGCTGCAGCCACTGCCTCTTTCGTGTTTAGCATTGACTTACCGGTATTAAACTGGTTTTGTTTTGGCTTTTATGATTTCATTTGACTGTTTTTTATATGACAACTGTAATGTAAACCTCACCTAACTTTAAGGAATTGCTTGCATTTTCCCAGAAGGGTAGTCAGTGTTCTCTATTGGTTTCTAGAGGATGAATTTGAATGTCTTATGCTGGAGAAAACAGCATTAATCTTCAGTTCTGCAGAGACCTCTGCAAGTGATTCACTTAACCAATTGTTTAAAATAACATGGCTTGCTAGAGGAAACGTTCAAATAACATTGGAGATACATGTTACTCCTAACTAAATTAGCATTTAAAGATTGATTGAGGTATAGTTAATTAAAAATTAAAAAACCCAACAAACCAAAACCACAAAACCTTAAATGTTAAGTAAAAAAAAACCTCCAGATGTATATTCTGTTTATTTATGTTTATTCTAATCTTAGACATTTTTTAAACATTTTTAATGATAGACTAGTAAATTTCCTTCATATGTAGCAGTATCTGAGCTAAATCAGCTAAGAATTTGGTTCTCTACATATCCATTAACAGAAAATAGCAGGTTTTCAAAAGGAACTAAAGGTATTTACATGGTCAGATCCCCTGAAATTCCACAGGGATTAGTCACAAAAGGTTGCAGAGTGGAAACCAGTGCAGAACACTCTAACAGTATTATCTCTTGGAATGCAAAAATGTTTTTGGAAGAAGATAAGTTATGCTTCAACAAATATTTTTAGGGCCATTTGGAAAATTTAGTGGTATCATGATTGAAAGAAACTCCCTTGGTGTCAAGGAAATTCCAGCTCTTTTGTCTTTAACTGTTGGCAGATTGAGTATTTTTCCTGTTTCATGCTTATGTACTAAGAATACATAACCTTTGATTCTCCCCTAAATTTCAGTTCCACCACACAGTAGTGTCTGGTATTCCTCACAGTATCTCTAGAACCTTCCCCCAAAATCCCTGTTCCCCTTGATGCCTTGTCTATTCCAGCTTCTCCTCCTGACATATTTCATGCAATGTCTAGAACTCAGCTTGCTCTGCTTATCATCAAAAAAGTCTCCAAACACTTCTCAGATACCTTCACTGGCTTGTTCTTGTCTTTGACATCAGACTGAAGCTCTGCTAATTGTCTGCTGGGCTCTGTATAGTTTATTCCCTTCCTACTTCCATGCACCTTCATTTCCTGCTCTGTGCCCATTGGTATGTAACTATTCTCAAAAAAAAAAAACCCTCACTAAAAAATCTGAGAATTGCTGTACATCTGTGTTTCCTTCTTTCATCTCAGTTCTGCTCTTTCTGCCTGTGGGTAGTTGCAGTGCTTTGAGTAACTGTCCACATGAACATGCCAGACATAAGACAGAAACCTCCAGATCACGGACTTTGAAGTCCTTAACATTTCGTCTTCTTACTCCTGACTGCTGGTATCAATGCTAGGATACATGATAATGCTGATCAAAATTTAAAAGCATAGGTACTGAAGAAAACTTCAAGAAAAAAGGTCAAACCTTCCTAGCCTAGAACGCGAAATAAGGGAAGCTCTGTTACACCACACGATGCAGTTTTAATTTTCTTATCCATAACTCTGATAAGACTCAGCAACAGAATTACTGTATGTAAGAAAATCTGGTTTATAATTCATAGCCATAATTCATAGCCATTGCTGTACTCTTCTGAAACAACAGTTAACAACCTTTTGATTGTTGCAGGTCTCTCATCTCCCACTGCTCCTGTAATGCTACTTTACAGCCCTCTGAACATTGTGCAGTTTCATTTGTAAATGGAATAGATGCATAGGGTTTCTTCAAAATAAGCATCTAACCAGTTCAACAGGCAAGAACCTCAAAACAGCATATTTATGTACATTTCCTATATGCATATTTTTAATTATAAAATATTGGGAACAGATTCACTGTTATCAAAACTTTCTATCAACACAAAATTTGGTTCATTTTCAATGAGAGCAGCAGATTCTCTGACCTACTGATTTCCATGACATTCATCCCTGTTAGCAATACCACTTTTTAATTGCATCCTTTTTCAAAATTTTTAGTTGATTAAATTTTGTCAAATTACACACATGCTCTGTGAATTTAGTTTGGGTTGCTACAGTTGAGGGCTGCATTGAGGAAAGCACTAATTGCAGTAGAGTCCTAACTGAAATTTGCTTTCTGTTTTTCTGAAGCTTTATAGCAGTACAGGAGTCAGTCAAAGAAACATCTGTTGCCTGCTCCTGGCATCACGTTTTATACGTTCAGAACATATGGAGAACATGGAGTCATGGGCAAACTTCTCTAAGTTTGGTGTCAAGTCAGGGGCTAAATTCCAGATCTTCCTCTGAAACTTTATTTGGTTTCTTCTGAGGTCTTAAGCTGGACCTGAAATTTTGTTTCCTTAGCTTCTATGAGATTTCTAACAGACCAAAGGGAAGACCAAATTAATTTTCCAGAAAGAGCCCTGTCTTCTTAAACACACACCAAACCCTAGACACAGGAAAGCTATTCAAGGAATGTTTACAGGAGCCATTTGAGAAATATTTCTAAGCACTTTCTCATTCCACTTAACATCCCAAATAATTTGAGAACAGCTTCCTTCACTCTATTTATTACTTCTGATCTCAATAGGAAGAACTGTGAAGATAAGCATTTTGTTTTGGTTTGAGTTTAGCAATAGTGTACATTGCTAGCAGTCCTGCTTTTACTGGAGCCATCTCACACTGGCCTCCCAACAGTTCCGCAACTGGAGTAAATACCAAAGTTATGGATCACATGTACAGCATAAAGCATAGTAAAGCAGTACTGATGCAATACTAACAACAGGAGTTTGCTGTCTGCACTCCAGCTCAAAGAAAGTATGTCTTTCTGGAACAGCCCCAGCGGCCTTGCTTTTTGAGCTGCAGGACATCAAAATGAAGAACAGGAAGGAGGGAGCACGTTTTAGGGATGAATCTCTCTTGGAGGAAGCCTAGTTTCATTTGCTGCTCCCCTGCCTAACTTAAGCATCTCAAATGGTCTCGCAATAACCTTCCTGGTTGCACAAGGAAGAGTTTGTCTTTTAAGACAATCTGGATAAAAATTACTTATATATCAGAAATGGCATCTTAGGTTGGACTCTTAAAATGAGTAATAGCCCATCCCTCCACAAAACACCGCAACTTGCTGATCTTTTTCTTTTCAGTTTGGGAGTAGTTATGGACAAAGAGTTAAAACAAGCAGTACACATAGAAACACACACACCACGAAACACCTTTTGCCACCATAATTTAAGATAATTAATTGAGTGAAGCAAAAACAGCGGAAGAAGGCAAGAGGGAAGCCCTGCCACTTGAAGTTTAGAAATAGCTGTAAAACCACCAGTGGTGTCAGGGATTACTTGTTCTCTCTTTTACTGTCATCTTCCAGACAGCTGTTGGGGAACATCACCAAGACTTTTAGGCACATCTGGAGGGTAAATGAAAAAATGTCTCTTGATGCAAATGAGCTGCTGAAATGTATCAGCTAGGAAACCTCCCATCACCAGTCCTGGAAGTGGTCAGGAAATCCTGCAGGGACCATATCACTTATTATTGCATTCTGTTTTCCAAAAGCTATCTTTGTGGTTGTCTTCAGATCCTGTATCTTAAGTAGGCAGCTGGTTCTGTCATTTGGTATCAAGTTTGTTTCTCCTGAGGAGACATGAATAGTTACGACCAATTCTGCATGAGAGCTCCCTCTTGCCATTTAGTCAGAGCAGGACAGATTCTTGCTGTTACAAGAATCCTCTGCAACCACTTTACCTCATACTTCTTCATTATCCCACATGCAGTGACAGAACCAGCTATGAGGAAGAGGACAAGCTACCACTTCTTCATGTACATGACCAAAACGGAAAGGACCTACAAGGACACAGGCAGGCAGGGCAGCAGAGTCCAGCCCATGCCTACAACTTTAATGGGCTTCAGTGGTTGTCATAGAATCATAGAATGGTGTGGGTTAGAAGGAACCTTAAAGACCATCTAGCTCCAGCCCCGCCCCCGCACAGGTAGGCACGCCTTCCACTAGACCAGGTTGCTGAAAGCCCCCTCCAACTCTTTCAGGGATGGAGAAGCCACAGCTTCTCTAGGCCTGTGTTTTCTGCCATGGACAAGCCTGCCCTACTGGAGTGAGTGAGCTCACAACATGTTTTTTCTAAGCTTAGCACAGTGCGTGTATTATTTACTGGTCAAAAAGGTCCTGAGCAAGAGTTTGAGAAGTACAAAGTGTGGTGATGCACATCTACCTAGTATGTATTCTTTCTTGCCTTTCATAAACCTATGATAGCTGTCAGATTTTCTCCATTTGTCTGTCCTTTAACATCTCATCTAACTTGCCACTTTGGGTGTCCCATTCCGCATCCTGGAAGGCATTTGTCTCAGGATAAATGTCACTTATGTTGCACATACTGATAAGATGAAACAGTTTGTCTTAAATTACCTCCCCGATTGGACCACATATTTTACAGCCTCAGGAATCCTGATTTTCTGATAAGGACCCACTAGTTGATTGTGCTTAAAAACCTGTTAGGGTTTTACTGATGATTTAGAAAACAAATCAAAAAATCCCAACTTTAAGAGTTCCCTGTGGAAGTTTATTACTTTACAGTTTAATAAATACTGAACTGTTTCTTTTAACCTAATTTAAACAATAAGATATGTATATTAGAAAATTTACAAAGTACATGTAGCAATTGTCCCAGTAACATTAGCACAAATGTCTGTTGCAATCCAGCATAGAATATGTGGACATAACAATTAGGAACCATCTGGTGACCTGGCATTTGCTGGTACAGGAATGAAATTTCAATTAAGTTTTATTATCAGAAAGTGTAAGTGACAGGTCCCACTTGAAACCCCAGAGCCAGTAAAATGCCCAAATAAAGAGAAGGATGTCACCCAGTTAATGGGTTGGATCACACTGCTTGATTACATACTTTGTAAGTAATGTGCTCCTTTCCCATGGTCTTGGGCACAGATTGCTCATGCAGTTAGATTTTTAAG